GGTAGAGAGCGCGGAGACGGATGCTGAAGAAACAGCTCTCAGCTCCCCTGAGGACTCGGGAGAGCTGCCGGACAGAGCGCCTGGCACTCACCGCTGTGCTCCGCTTGCTGGTCTCGACTAGCCTGCCGACTGTGTGTGTCCCCCAGGAGGAGAGCCGCAGCTCTGGGCTGGGGCCCTGCGCGGCCACTTCTCCACCCCACCTCTCACCCCACTGCAGGCACCCTGGAGCGGGGTGTTTACCATCCGAGATGCTGGATTCCTGGAACATTGTTTCAAAGGCCTGGTGGATTTCAGCAAAGGAAGGCCGGTCAGAGGGATTCCACTGCCAACCTAGACAGAAAAGACCAGGTCAGACTACCCACCGGCCTCACCTAGCTGACGCTAGCAGCTCTCAGGAAAAAGTCTGGAAAGGAACGAAGCCTTCCAATCCTGGGAATAGTTACAACAACAAATGCCACTGTGTCCATTCCAAACAGTAAGAATTTTAGAAGGCATTGAATACTGGCAGGAATGTGGCCTGCTAAAACTGCAGCGCCCTCGACACTACTTACACATACTTCCCCAACCCCCCGAGCAAGTATAAAGAATCACTCAGTGCAACAGCTCTTCTCCATCCCCTCACGAGACAAACAGCTGGAAGTCAGTCATGTGGGGGATCCAGCTGCTGTAACCACCATGCCACTGGCTGGCCCCAGTTCAACTTTCAGAAACGCTAGCCCGAGTACAGAGAGGCACCGATACCAGACGTTTGTCCCTGCGTGGTTTATAACGGCAAATCAAACAGAGACAGGAGGGTTACACACAGAGGGGCAGAGAAGGCCTCTCTCCGTCCCTCTCCTTCCCAGCGCGCTCATAAAGGAAAATGAAACACAAAGAACAAAACCAAATGAACGTGAAAAACCAAGTGCGCGTCGGGAGGACGTGATGAGTGGGCGAAGTCACCTCAGGCACGCGGCAGCGGTGCACGAACAGGAGAGGAGGGAGAGGCCTGAACGCAGACACGGGAAGGTGAGCCTGTTGCTCCACTGCCGAGGGGAGGAAAGGTGAGACGATGATCACGCTTATGCAACACATACAACGCATACACATCCGTGTGTGGAAGTAATACAGAGCCGACTGCATGAGCAGCACCCAGAACGCCGAGCTGTTCTAGCAGACTGTTCGGCGGTAGGGCCCAGGAATCTGCATTTATTAATAAGAAATCCAGATCTGCTAGCCATGAATCCCATTTTTGCTTAAAAAAGCAAAAATAAAAATGGAAACAACTGGGACCGGCAATTGACATAGTGGTTAAGGTGCTAAATCCCCACATGGCTGATCATGGTTTGAGTCCTGGATCCAGTAGCTTGAAGCACACTGAGTGTGTGTATGTGTGCCCCAAATTCCAGGAGGACACCGAAGAAGGGATTGAGGTGTGGCTATAGCACCTAGGGGGGTGATCTCTCACTGTTTCTCTGTCTCTCTCTGGAGAACACACACATCCTATGGCAAAAATTTAAAAAAAAAAAAAAAAAAAAAAAAAAACAAAAAATACACAAAAAATAAAACAAAACAAAAATAAAACAGGACACAACCCACATATATTGGGGTTGTCAAAAAAGTCAAGATGCATTTTTGCATAGAAAAACACGTCATGACTTTTCTAGTATTTTTATCTGTAAATAAAGGTATTAAAAAGCATTGAAACATTTGAAAAAATCTGTATCAAATGGTTACATTCACAGCCTCTGAAGAACTGCAACAGAGGGTGCAAACACAAAGCTTTCATTATTCACTCCCGCATATACTCCTGCTGCTGGGGTTCGGTCAGTGCCCACGCATACTTTCTGGGAGGGCTGGGGAAGGCTCACATGCTCGCATGAGTTCGTAGACCTTCTCGGGGCAGCCCTCCGGGCGCTCCATGCGGTAGTCTTTCTCTAGCAGTTCATACACCTGGGACAGGTCAATTCCTGGATACGGCGACATGCCATAGGTAGCAATCTCCCAAAGCAACACTCCAAACGCTACAAGAAAAAAATAAAGGTATAAGATTTAGGTACATTGCACTTACACTTGATCACGTATGCGCAGACTCGAGGTCACACCTCAGAGGCAGCCTTGGCAGTGACATTTCACCAGTTCTCAATTACCAGCAGCCCAGGGAAGACAGGACAGGACCAGACTTCTGCCTCACTCTCTCCTGCCACTTAAACAAGCAGGGCCACTCCCACATGGCCAGCCCTGATTTGAGTCCCGGACCTGGTGGCTTGAAAACTCACGCCAGGGACCTGTGCATGTGTGCCCAAAACTCCAGAAGGAGATTGGAGAAGGGACTGCAGTACGGTTATTCCCCTCAGGGGGCGATTTCTCACTTCCTTCTGTCTCTGCGGCGGGTACACGTGCTGCGAGAAGCCTGCCTATCGGCCCACGTGATCGCCTTGCTGGGCCTATGGTAGAAGCAGCCTGGGGCTGGAGGGCCGGCGGCCATATCCTGCTCGTGACTGACCAGCTCCCTCCTTCCTGGGTGCACCAGACAACTCCTGAGGCCCCTCCAACTCTGGAAGTTTCGTGAAAATCGAATGAAATTTTGTAAACTTTTGAAACCCCAGATTATGGTCTTAAAAATCTTCTGTTGGGAACTAGCAGTTAGCGTAATGGCTATGTCGCTGGACTCCCACGTAGTCGACCGGGGTTCGTGTCCCGGACCCGGTGGCTTAAAACTCACGCCGGGAGCGTGTGCGTGCGTGCCCAAGATCCCGAGAGGAGAATGGAGGAGAAGGGATTGCGGCGTGACCATCCCCCCTGGGGGGTGATTTCTCGCTTTCTGTCTCTATGTCTCTCTCTGTCTGTCTGGCGAGCGCACGCGCCCTACAGTGAAAATCTCTCCAAAAAAAAAAAAAAAAATTTTCTGTTGGGACAAGCAGTTAGCGTAATGGCTATGTCGCTGAACTACCATGTGGCCGCGACTGCGGTTCGAGTCCCGGACTGGTGGCTGAAACTCATGCCGGGCGCGTGTGTGTGCGTGCCCAAGATCCCGAGAGGAGAATGGAGAAGGGATTGTGGTGTGGCCATCCCCCCAGGGGGTGATTTCTCGCTTTCTGTCTCTCTGTCTCTCTCTGTCTTTCTGGCGAGCGCACACGCCCTCTAGCAAAAACCTCTCCTAAAAAAATAAAAATAAAAAATTCCATCTCCTGTTAAAGAGTCAGGGCTCCTCGGGAATCAAGGACTCAGGGCGGGAGATGAGCCTGGAGTGCCCTGTCATTCCAGAGCGTGGACATGACGGGAGACGACAGGGTAATGTCAAAGGAGTGATCTGAAGTTCCCACTGGGCAAAGACTACACAACCTGAATCATTAACAAGGAAATTAGCTGCACTGGATTCCAACACTTCAAATAGCTTTAAAGCCAAGGGCTCATAATAATACCATGAATGACAAACTCGACCAAGATCTAACTAGGGTTTAAGGAAGCGGCTTATCCTGAAAACCGGCAAAGCAGCAGGTGCTTGTCCTGCCCTTCCTGCGTGAGCTGCAGAAGAGGACGGCCTCCTCCGGGGAAGCGCTCTCCGCCAAGAAGCCGATAAGGAATGGCAGGCTCAGGACTGCCAGCCGGTGGGCCTGGCGACCTCGTGGTCTAGACACCGGGTATCAAAGACGACTAAAAACCCCAACAGAGGGGAGAAAATCGAGCACTAGGTACTGATGAAAGACCACGCCACTTGTTCCACGGTCTTAGGAAAAGCAGAGTGAAGCCTAGAGGGGACCAAGCCATCTAGACCCAACTACCCATTTCCTGAGAATACTGACACCAGGGGCACAATGAATCCCACTGCAGGGACACAGAGAGTGAAATCCAGAACGTGGATGCTCTGAGGGACACACAACGGAGTGTTTTCGATAAACATACAGCGGGAACCACAGAGAGGAGAGGGCACGTACGCTGGGGAGATGCAGTGACATGCTGTGAGCTGTTCTTGGGCCTCAGTTCAAATGGCTTAAAAAAAAAAAAAAAGGATGATTTGTATGGCTCACCTGGAAATCTGCACACTGCCTGGATACTGGCTAGTGTTCAGAACTCACTCGGCCCAGCCGCAGTGGTGCAAGGAGTAGGGACACTGCTGTGGGGTGCTAGAAGCCAATGGGAGAGCTCAGGTGTGCACCCCAGGTCCATGTGAGTACACCAGGTCTGCCTGCGGCCCCAGCTGGCTGCAGGGGTTAGGGAGGCTCTTGGGGCGGGGCGAGATGACCGTAACCTCAGTCGAGGGTGTCTGTCTCTCTCATGAAGGTGTTAAATATATAAACTTAAAATAAATAAATAATTGGGCACCAGCAGTTGGTGTAATGGCTATGTCGCTGGACTCCCATGTAGCCAACTGCAGTTTGAGTCCCAGACCCGGTGGCTTAAACTCACGCCAGGCGCGTGTGCGTGCGTGCCTAAGATCCCGAGAGGAGAATGGAGGAGAAGGGATTGCGGCATGGCCATACCCCCCTGGGGAGTAATTTCTCGTTCTCTGTCTCTCTGTCTTTCTGGTAAATGCATGCACCCTATAGCAAAAACCTCTCACCCAAAAATAAAGAGAGAAAGCAAGGAAGGAAGAAAGGAAGGAAGGAAGAAATTCCTGCCAGTGCTGGGGATAGCACTGTGGTCATACTAAAAAAATAAACTTTAAGAAAGTCATACTGAAATACTTAAGTGCAGAATGCTATGATGTATAGGACTTGCTTTGAAATGGTGGTGGACGAGCAGGCAGGATGCAAGTTTGCCACTGGGCAGTGACTTTGCAGTGGGGGATGGGCCACACGACCCTCTCCTTCAGTGTACGCTTGCAACGGTCATGACAAAATGTTCATTTTTTTAAAGAAGCTATTCTGGAACAGCTGGTGGTGTGGGGTCAGGATCCCACACGGCTGACCATGTGGTTTTGGTCCTGGACCCGATGTCTGAAAACCACGCTGGTCATGTGTCCACGTGCCCCACAGGACAGAGGAATGCAGAAGGGACTGCAGGTGACGGTCCCAGGGTGCCTCCTCACCCCCACCCTCCAGCTCTCTGACCAGTGCACATGCCCTTGAGCAGAATTTAAAAAATAGACATGTTTTAGAAAGTTATTTTGGATTAAAATTTAGGAAGAGAAAGCTCACTTTCACTTCATTTTGGAAATGAAAAGGAGAGGTGAGGATTTTAACACCGCGAAGAGACAGAATAGGGAAGGGGATTAAGTAGCGGAAAAGCCATGACGGTGGCGGCAGCACGACAGCAGCCCTACCCCAGACGTCGGACTTGATGGAGAACTTGTTGTAGGCCAGGCTCTCGGGCGCAGTCCACTTGATCGGGAACTTGGCTCCGGCGTGCGCTGTGTAGGTGTCCCCGGTCATTAACCTGCTCAGGCCGAAATCCGCCACCTTCACCAAGTGGTTCTCCCCTACCAGGCAGTTTCGGGCAGCGAGATCTCTGAGGAAGGACAAAGTTCACTGTGAACACTTGGCCGCTGAGGAAGGCGTCGATGACAGGAAAGCTGAGTGGCCCCTCAGGAGCGTGTCAATACCCTGCCCTGGCGCAGCACCGGTCCCCAGCACAGATGCCCGAGCTCCCACCAGTGACAGGCAGCAGACGGTGGCACTGGGTGCAGGCTCCTGGCTGTGACCTGGAGCCAGTTAACGACCATGGGACTCAGTGGCCTCATCCACAAATACTGGTGATGACCACAGCGCCCAACTCCCAGGGCGGCCGTGAGCAAATGAATCCATACGGAAAATGCTTCCAGCCACGGCTTGGCGACAGCAGGTGTCATCTACGAGCTGGTCCAGCTAAGGCTACTCTACCCAGCATGGGGACGGAGGCCTGGCCGAGTTCCCGACTGCAAGAAACCCATGACCTGGAAATCTGCACAGGTTCCCATAGGTCAATGTACCCTAAAAGCCCTCTCCTGTGTAATTCGCTTCCTCTGGCCTCATTCTCCCAGGGAGGAAGGAGCCTCGTCTTCAGTTCGAGGACGTTAACCATGAAATCTCGAGGCAAACTGGGATGGAGGAACGAGAAGAGGCGGTGGCTTAAGGCAACGGCTGTGTGCGATGGCTTGATCATCAGCAGGGAGGGAAATGAAATACAGAGAGCTGTGCCTAATAGGATTTCGGTAAGCATTTTAAGTTTGCCTGAATGAAGCGGGAACGGGCCTAGCCGTGCAAGACGAAGAGGGGAAGTCGAGAAATCTCAATTTGCAGCATCGGAGGGCTCACGTTCCTGAGCAACAGGAGCATCTGGAGCGGGCTCACAGGGAGCACAGTACACCTGCCTGCCGCGGCCCCGCCAGCGTCTCACATGCTCCTCGCCGTGCGATCTCGTGTAGAGCTTGCGCTCTTCAGTTAATTGGGCAGGAAAGGTCGCACTGGTGGCGTGGAAAACATCTTGTGTGAGAGACTGAAAACACCGATACCACTTTGCCAGGAGCCCATTTCCCCCGGCCAAGAATGTGAGACCTGGTAATTGTGGCACACTTGAAGGTCAAAGCACTCAGGCCCTAGGGCAGCGAAGATGCCTAATTTAGGCCCACAGCTACACAATTCTGACAGTCGTGGAAACAGCCCTGAACCGGATGACAGGAGGTTAAGTGAGAATGCGATGATAATGAGGGAGGAAAAACAACACTAAGAAGACAAGATCCACGCACTGGCTGTTGCCATGAGCTCACGTCAAGGCAGCGCCAACCGTGGCCAGGAAGAGCCTCGGAGGGGGCTGTGGTCACCGGGGAGGACGCCCTCGTGGCCTTCCGCTAACATCCACAATGGTCTGGAAGTGGACTGCGGCACTGGCCCAGGGTCTGGGCCAGGCTGGGCTCCAGTCTGAACACACGCCTGAGGCCGCCGCGCTGCACCCGAGTGCGTGCATTTGTCCCAGGGCCAGCGTGCTGCTGCCAGCACCAAGCCAAAGCTGCGCCCTAAGGCCTCGTTCACTGAGTGTCTACAGAAAGGCTGCTGGCTGCGGCGCTGCGGCCGGGCTGCTCTGCCAGGCCCTACCTGTGGATGAAGTTCTTCTTCTCCAGGTACTCCATGGCTGACGAGATCTGGGTGGCCATGTACAGCAGCACCACCGCGTTCACCTCCTGCCGATTGCACTCCCGCAGGTAGTCCAGCAGGTTCCCATAGGTCATGAACTCGGTGATTATGTAGAAGGGGGGCTCCCGTGTGCAGACCCCTGCCAATAAGACACTGAGGGCTTGGGCGTGTGTCTCTGCTCCCCACTGAACTAACAGCAAAAAGGACTGGCGCTAAAGAAAAAGGCTTCCAAGACATGCCTGCCCCTGCCCCTATGCAGAGGCCGGCCCGTCCTACCGTGGCCCCACGCACTTACAGCCTGAGACAGTGCTGCCGTTAGATACCCACTACACTCGCACGTCCGCTCTCATGCCCCCATCTGCCTGGGCCTCCTTTGGCCACAGCCGAAGGCTGGCAGTGCACAGATGTCTGACGCAGTGCCCCTTGCAGTGCCCGCGTCGCCCCAGAGGTCTGGCCCCTTCAGAGCACGTTTGCTCACCCAGTAACTGCACGAGATTGGGGTGTTTGATCTCTTTCATTACTGCAGCTTCTTTAAGAAACTCTTCCACCTCCATAGTGTCCTCCTGCAGAAGGAAAAAAAGTGGTGACGCTTTTCAGCAAGTGTTGGCATGGGATTCTGGCAGCTGCTCTGCCGGCTTGGTTTCCTCACGCTTGGAGTGGGTGGCATGTTAAGAGGCAGAGACCACACACGGGGCGCGCTTCCCCAGGGGACCGCGGGTTCCTAAGGAGCCCTAGCACACTAAGCGTTTAACCAAAAAGGTCACTTAGCCAACATGGAATGGACCTGACTTTAAGGGCAAAGACCCTAACGACAGAGAGAGAAACTGTACTGCCCAAGAACGACGTGAGTGACAGTGTCCCAGGGCTCTGAGCGAAGCGATCGCCGCGCTCTGCCGGTCGAGAATCCTCCTCAGCAGCAGCCCCCCTGACAATGACTCACAAGCGGCCTCAGTACATGTCACCCCGCAGAGTCCATGGTACCCAAATGCCACGGGGGTGGGGAGTGTTAAAAGACGTAAGTGGGCGCCAGCCCGAGTGTGCCAAGGTCTCCACATTTCCAGCAGAGGCTCAAGTCCGCAGTGCCAGAGCCACCCCCGCTCCTTTGGCCATAGGGCACGTGTACTCACTGGGGAGACAGACAGAAGGAAAGTGAGAAATCACCCCCGGGGGAGATGGCCACGCAGCAACCTCTCCTCCACTCTCCTCTCGGAGTTTTGAGCACACACGCACACGCGCCCGAATGATTTTCAGGTTGCGGTGTCTAGGACCTGAACTGCAGTCGGCCGTATGTCAGTCCAGCACCCCAGTCCTGCTGACCCCACCACAGAGCCTTTGCTTTTGCTTTCGTCGTAAGCCTCTTCTCAACTTGAAAAAGCCACTGTCTTCTGAGTAGAACATCCGACCAGAGGCAGGTGGGTGGTGAATGAACCGGTCTCTCTGCCGAGAAGACCTGGCTATGAAGGTCAAAGAGGGGGTAAGACGGGACCACGTCCTGCCATGGAACCGACGTGTCCGCACTGTACGCTCCCTGGCACTGCCCCGAGTCCTCCCCCGATGTGGGGAGACTCCATGAGGAGCCTCTACTTCGAGCTTCCTTGTTTGGGCCAACCATGGCTACGAGTGAGGCAGGACCATGAGGACAAAGGTCCACTCAGTTAGGGCTCCACGAGGCCGAAACTCAGAAACGAGGTATCGCGCTCTAAAAATGGCCAGCTGCTCCTGATGTCAATCATGCATCACCAGGAGTCACTGTGTCAAGCTGTATGGGGACAGAGCTCTCCTGCTGCCACCCCATCGCCACTGAACGCCCGAGCCCTCCCTGCTCCCAGGCACGCTCAGCAGGCCATGCCGATGTGGGCAAGGCACGCTCTGATGTCCTACAATGACCGCTTAATGGCAGAGGCTGGCGAGCAAGTGCCTGTCAGGATCAGGGACTCGGAGTCACTCATGTGCAGGAGGGACTTCAGGACTCGTGTCTGGATGACTGTGAGTTCGAACAGTGGCTCTCGAATGAAGCTGTCCAGACAAGAGTCCTCTTCAACATGCCACGCAATGAACATGCGCAGTGAGACCATTTCGGAAGTACTACTTGCTTTCACAGACCCAAACCCTTTCCTAAAACACCACGCTCAACCCTAACGGCACAAGTGTGAGCAGGAGCCATCTAGCTTCCGGAGGGACGCTGCTCTCCCTGTGTCTGTCCGTCTCTCCCCTCCTCAAACACAAACAACGGGAAGTGTGAACAGAGCTGAACTCTGAACATGAGTTTGAACCGGCAGGTCTATGCACACACGGGTGTTTTGCAATGAAGGCTGTAAGTGTATGTTCTCTTGATGGATTTAGAGACGGCCCTCCTGACAGGGTCACGATGCCACAGTCCATCCTCAGCTCTAGCCAGACCTGGACCACGGACATTCATGTGTGCCCCATACTCAGAGACACCCAAGGGCACGAGTCAGAACCCTCCCACGTGAGTCTGCCCCTCATTACCACTGTGCCACCGTCTGGCCTTCTCATGGCTTTAACACTTTCTTTTCTCTAGCTTATTCCATCGTAAGAATATCATATATGGGGACCAGCAGTTAGCGTAATGGCTATGTCGCTGGACTCCCATGTAGTCGACCGCGGTTCGAGTCCTGGACCCAGTGGCTTAAACTCACGCCGGGCGCGTGTGCGTGCGTGCCCAAGATCCCGAGAGGAGAATGGAGAAGAGATTGCGGCGTGACCATCCCCCCTGGGGGGTGATTTCTCGCTTTCTAGCTCTCTGTCTCTCTCTGTTTCTCTGGTGAATGCATGCACCCTATAGCAAAAAAAAAAAAAAGGACTATCATATATAGGGGCCGGCAGGTGGCACAGTGGTTAAGGTGCTAGACTCCCACCACATGGATGTCCATGGATCAAGTCCTGGACTTGGTGGCTTGAAAATCATACCAGGTGCATCTGTGTGTGTCCAAAATTTTGGGAGGAGAATGAAGGAGAAGGAGCTGGGCACGGCCATGCCCCTGAGGTGGTGATTTCTCACTTTCCTTCTTTCTGTCTCTGTCTCTCTCCCTGCAGAGTACATGTGCCCTATGGCAAAAAAAAAAAAAAAGCCGAAGTACATAATAAATATGAATGCAACATGCAACGTGTTAATCGGCTGCTCCTGCCACCGGTGAGGCGGCCAGCAGCATGTTATTCGTAGTTACATTCTGGGAAACCGAAAGTTGTACGAGGATTCTGACTGTGCAGGTCAGCACCCTGACTCCGTTTTAAAAGGTCCATAAAATTCCTTCTTTCTTTCAGGAAAATCACTGAGGATTTGGCTCCCCCTGCTGGAACCAGCTAGTTCGACTGATAATTTGGACTCAACAGCAACCTGAGTGTGCAACGGCAAGAAATGAGATTCCTGTGAAGTCATCCTGTGACACTTGCCAACTTTATCATAAAAAGTCCTTAGAAGGGAACTTCCCGCTTACATAGCCAACTAGGCTGACTCAGGTGGGCCTGCGTAGAAGCTGTGCCTTTCAGCCCTGTCTCGTCTACCTCTGTTATGAGGAAGAGGGATCCACTGGGCTCGCTAAGGACTGACGGGCCCAACCCAGACGCAGATGAACAGCTTAAATAGCACAGGGCCAGCAGGTGGCGTGGAGGTTAAGGTGCTGGATCCAACATGGCTGACTCAGCAGTTCGAGTCTCAAACCCAGTGGTTTGAAAATCATGCCAGGCACGTGTGCGTGCATGCCGGAAACCCTGAGAGAGAGTGGAGAAGGGCTGCAGCATGGTATTCGCCCTGGGGAGACTTCTCACTTTCCTTTCTCAGCCGCTCCTGGTCCCCAGTTGCACTCTCTGGTGATCACAAGCGCTCACTGGGAAGAAGAGGAGAGGGGACAGGGAAGGGCCAGAGGGTGGGTGCAGCAGAAGCTCAAGTGGCCCCACTGGGGAAGGTCCTGAGTTGTCACCCAGGGCTTTCTCAGCACTGGGGTGGATTGTGGCATAGATGCTGTTTTGGGGGTGCATACGTATGATGGGAAGCCAGCAGATGGCATAGTGACTAAGACACTGGACTCCCACGTGGTCGACTGCAGTTCAAGTCCTGAACTCGGCAACTTGAAATTCACATTGGGAGCATGTACATGTGTGTCCAAAATCCTGATAGAAGAATGGAGGAGAAGGGATTGCGGCGTGGCCATCCCCCCGGGATGGTGATTTCTCGCTTTCTGTCTCTTTCCAGTGAGCACAAGTACCCTATGGCAAAATCCTATTACGAATGTGCCTGTGGGAAAACAATTTTTAAAAAATGGTTCAATGGAGTGGTTAAGAGGATAACCTATGATTTATTCCAGTCGTTTTTGTTTTTGTTTTTTTTACTTTTTTTTTTTTGGAGAGGTTTTTGCTATAGGGCGCGTGTGCTTGCCAGACAGACAGAGAGAGACATAGAGACAGAAAGCGAGAAATCACCCCCCAGGGGGGATGGTCACGCTGCAATCCCTTCTCCATTCTCCTCTCGGGATCTTGGGCACGCACGCACACAGGCTGGGCATGAGTTTAAGTCACTGGGTCCGGGATGCAAACTGCGGTCGACTACATGGGAGTCCAGCGACATAGCCATTACGCCAACTGCTGGTCCCATCTAGTCTTTAAAAAAAAAAAAAAAAAACTGAATTATTTGTTTGTTTAATTCCACTTGTTATTATTACTTTTTAATTTGACCAGAGACAGAGAGAAAAAGGGAAAGCGAGAAGCATGCTGCCGGGTCTGGGGCTCGAACCTTGGCCGTGTGGGAATCCAGCACCTTTAACCACCCTGCCACCTGCTGGTCCCCCCCAGTCTCTCTTTGCCGCTGTGTGACCCTGAGTTACCTGCCTTTTCTGAACTGTTTCCTCCTCAGCACGATGCAGGGAATGTCAGTGTGGGTCATGTGCAGAGAGAGCAGACAGCAGTGCCTGGGCGGGGTTCAGCGCCCACTCAGGGTGCCCCCTACCCCTGGAGAGCCTGAGTGCAGTGCTGTACGAGGGGAGGCTGCGTCTCTCACGAATGCCGTGCTTTCCCCTCACAGTACGTCCTCCCAGACCCACGCCTCACAGGTGTCTTCCAATCAGCTTCCTCCTTCCCTGGGCAAGCAGGTGCTCAGCCCAGAGGAGCGTGCTCCCAGGGCCGGCAGCTCTGCGTGCTCCCGCTCTCACCTGCAGACGCAGGCTCCAGCTCTGTGCCCGGTCTCTAACTGAGCGCTAGGGGGCAAGGTCAGCAGCAGAGAAGTATCGCCCCCACTGACCAGATGGACCAGGGTCCACGTGATCAAAGCACGCTGCCAGATGGGCTGGCGTTTCTGAGTCCACCCAGGAAGGCGGTCCATGAACCAGGTGTGGTATGTGACATTCGTGCTAAGTCTGGGAGAAGCTCCCGCACGGAGGAGCCCCCGGAGCACTCATCCCCGACAGCAAGCCCATATGGCTGAGCAACCAGAAGGGAGCCCTTGCGAGGAGCGGTGGCCTCGTAAGAGCAGGCACAGCATGGCTACAGTAGGCCCAGGGCTGTGTAGCCTCTGCCTAGCATGGCCAGACCCCTCCTTGTAAAGCCCGAGGGCCACTGCACATGTGACCGTCCAGTGACAACGCTGTCACTGAGCCCTCCTGCCCTGCTTGTTTCTGGAGATCCCCAATAACAGCAATGTCCCCGGGGAAAGAACGAAGCCCAGACACATCATGTGGTGAGGGTACGCAGGTGCGCCCTCAGTATCGCTGGGGTGCAAACAGGAATGTGCCCCTCTTCGCGAGATTGCAACTGCACCCAGTCCCATGGGGGGCTGACCCGCAGCGCAGCCGCACGTCTGTGCTGACGAGGACAATCGTCTCGGTCCGTCTTGCGCTACCTAACAGCACACCACGGCCGGGTAATCCAGAGACAAGGGAAGTTCATGTGGCTCATGGTTTGTGAGGCTGGGAAGTCCAAGGTCAAGGGGCTGCAGCTGTCAGGGCCTTCCTGCTGTGTCACACCAGGGGGGCTGTGAGCACGTGACCAGGACATCACCTTCCTGAGACTGAGCGAAAAGGGGCTGAACTTTCTCAATAACAGCATTAATCCACTCACAGAACCCAGGACCTAACCACCTCTGAAAGGTCCCACGTCTCCTGGGGGCCAGCCAGTGGGATGGTGGTTGAGGAGGCAAGATCGCACGTGGCAACTATGCAGTTCCAGTCCTAGACCCGGCAGCTTGACAAACATGCTGGGTGCATGTGCGTGCTCAAAATCCTGAGGGGGAGCGGAAAGGGGATTTGGCATTGTCATCGCCCCCAGAGGGTGCTGTCTGTCTCTCTCACGTGCACGTGCATGCATGCATGCTTTACCAAGCGCGTGTGCCTTCTAACAAAAAAAGTCCCACCTTGCAGTGCCATGGCAGTGGCAATTAAACTCCAACATGAACAAGTGGGAATATTCAAACCTAGCGATAACCTCTGTGTTTATGACAGCAAAATTACAAAGTAACGCAACGGCCTAACGAGGGCTAGTACACATACAAATACCTACAAACAGACAGCTTCACGTGTACAGGTAAAGAGCGACCGCTGAGACACACAGGGGTGACAGGAGGGCCCGAGCAGTGCCCCTGCAGCTGCTGTTACGGTTAGAAGACTCACACGTGGACTGCCTTAGGGAAGACAAGCTTCCAGGTGCACGTTGCCTGTGCGAGACACACGTAGTTATCTTCTGCCACTTTGTCAGTTTGTCAGCTCATTCATGGGTGTCTCAGCAACAGTAGCTTTTCCAAATTCTCTCACTTACAGAACCATTTCAGAGAAAAAGCTGACTTACGAACCAACTTTTGGAATATAGTTTACCGCAAACTGGGGCTTCCTATAGTCAGCAGTGGTTCTCTCGAGCACGCCCTGCTTTAACATGGCTCAGTACGGGGACGCCAAATGGGTCAAAACGCAAATTCAGTCACTGGGCCTTTGACGGAGTTGCTGTGTCCCACCCAAAGGGGTCAGCCTAGTGTCCTCCTCCTCTCACTCTGTCCAGGTCTCCTGCCTGAGGGTTCAAGCGCGAATGCTGCCTCGCTGGTGTTGGCTGGCATGAGCGAGTTGCGGGTCAAAGCACGGCCGTGCGCCCTCTGCTGGTCAAGGGGGACTTTGGCTCTGTCCTTTGAGGGCTGGACAGGAAGGTGCTCAGAGAGCCACCGCCCAGAGGAAGCCTGGGCTACAGTGGAAGGATAAATGGCAGAGCGGGGCAAAAGGGATTTTTTAAAAAGAGCTGTCACTGGCAGATGTAGGTTTTTCGTGAGGCCTGAGAAGTACAAACCTGTGTTAGAACTGAAAAAAAGAGCTGGGCTTTGGCTCTGGTGCCTGGGTTTTGGCATGGCCGCGCCCAGCTGCTGTCAGGCCAGTCACTCCCCCTCCCTCTGGCTTCTTCTGCCTTAGAATGGTGATAACTGTAGCATCCTTCTTTGAAGGGTCTAGGATGCAGTGAGGTGTCAGAGGTAACAAGCACTTGGAACTCTGCCGGGCACACAGTAAGCAGAGGGCACGGCACTCCGATCTGGCTCCTGTACCCGCGGTCTCAAAGCTCTCTGGTCCCACTACTGACACGCTGTGGCGTACAGACAGCATGCTGAGGCAGGGCCAGCAGGAAGGAAGGACGACTTATTTAGCTGTTCCTTCGTACTGTGCTTTGAGTTAACCTGCCTCTCAGGAGGAACGGCCTGTGTGCTCTCGATTAGATACCACACCGGGTAACTACTCACACGAAGCCAGACAGCTAGTCCTGCAATTCTTTACCAACTCCAAGACCGTAAGTGGGCAAGGCTCTTGGGAAATCATTAAAGATATAATAAAAAGTGCAACAATACATTATTAGTAAAGCATATTCTGAAAGCCAACCACTTGCAGACAATTCTGATTCACCAGCGTAAGAAAACCAGCCCCCTCCTTAGCATGGTTGTTACGCACAATGCCTAGGGAGCCAGATCCCACATGGCTGACTGGGGTTCAAAGCCTGGCTCTGGCGGCTCAGAAAACACTGGGTGCATGTGCAACCCCAAGGGGAAGGACAGACGGGAGGAAGGCAGTGCAGCAGGACCATGCTCCTGGGAGGTGCTCTCTCCCCCCTCTGGTGAGCACACTCATCTTCTGGTATTAGCTGTACTAGACAATACATACACGCGCACGTACAAACAAAGAAGAGAAAAAGAAAACCACCACTACCACCAGGCTGCAGGAGGCTCCCCGTGGAACCCCGCTGCTCAGGAAACACTGCTGTAGCATCTACTGAGTGGGCTTCCCAGATTTCACGTTGTGCGGATTCCACACCCTGCTAAAGCTTTCACACATGCCGTTATGGCTACATCTCGTTCACTTTGCACTCCTAACGTGTTCCTGTTCTGCTTTTGCAAAGCGGCCAGGGCCCCACCTCTCTGGGCCTGGTCTCCACCCTGCACTGAGTCATGGAACTGAGCTCGGGTGCGCCCTCTTGCCTGCGCCCACATGGGGGCCACGGACGCGGGCAAAGGCTGCGTTGCTGCCCTTTTACTTGAGGAATGGAACCGCACTGCACGTGTAAAAGGACCGCATCTGGTTATAGAACTCGGCATGGGCCGTGAGTTGGCTACCTCCCAACCCCAGGATGACGTCTGTGAGGGACTGTGGCGCCTGCACACGCTCGCACGCTCGCCACCGAGGACCAGCACGCCCCTGTGCCGCAGTCCTCATCTCACTCCCACTGCCTCCAGGGTGGAGCCCCAGCCTCCCCCCCGCCCCCCGCTGGGGCTCAAGGCCCCTGTGGCTTACTGTGCCTGCCTCTGTGCCCTTGGCCAAGGCCTGTCCTCCTCCACAGTCCCGGCCCAACACCCGAAGTGGGCACAGTGCACCTGCCCCGCCTCACACACCCTTAGACCCCGCAGCTCTGCCCCTGCCCTGCCACCGCACTCGCTCCTGGCACCCACTGCACTGGCTCGTGGTGCCCACCTCTCTCGGTACCGGGACCACCCACGCCTGTGCAAGGAACGCCGACTCCTGCTGTGAGCCCAGGGTTGAAGCCGAGGGCTGGCAAATGAGGAACTCAACGGATGGCTACCAAGTTAAAAAAGGGCTCTACCTGGAAAATGTCAGGGTCCTCAAGGTGACCCCAAGCCACGCCGCTTGCCCATCACCAGTACCAGTCCTGCCCCAAGGACGGACGGACGCCAGGGACGTGAAGAACACAAGGCTGGGATGCCGTGTTTGGTTCCCAGGCTAGAGGCAACCCCTGAGGCAGGCACGGCATGGGCCCAGCCTGCTCTCCATGCCTGGGCCTCTGAGGGAAGGCTCTGGAAGCCAGAGGCCCTGGGGGGCCCAGTGCACACCCCGACTTCTCAGAGCCACGCGCACAGACTTGGGCGCACTTTTGCCAGTGGCTGCGTCTTTCCTTCTCAGTTACACGAGGGCCTCCTCTTGCTTCTGTGCGCGTCGATGTGGTCGGAAAGCGCGGTTGACACAGGGGATCACATTCTGAAGAGGGCAAAGGGTTGAAAATGAAAACTTTCCTCAGTGTCCCAATGATTTCAAAGAATTTCAGAAGGAAAAAAACAAGAACAACTGCCTGGAAACTGCAAACCCTCGTCCTCAGTCACGAAAGCCACGCAAGCAAGAGCGAAGCGGCAGCGTGGGGCGGTGACTGCTGTCTCCACGCCCTTCCAGCAGCCCAGCCCCCTCTGCTGCTCAGGTCCAGGCTCACAGCAGTCGGACCAGCCAGAAAGTTCCACGCACTTGCCCTTCGCAGCTGCCAACGAAAACCCCCAGAAGAGTCGAGCACACTCTGGCCAAGTCTCCTCTTCCCAGAACTCTGAGTGGCTCCCTCTCTCCTAACTCAGC